CATTCTTCCAGTGTACTAACATTGTTTATTTAATGCGAACAATATGCCTGGCCCTGCATGATCCACACAAATACAGGCTCTGTAACGAAGAGACACGGGACGTACTTCTGCAGAGAGGACATACTATTACATGCCCACAGTCCATTCTATCAACAGCTCTAACCCCACACCAGGTTGGAAAGGTAATATATTTAGCACCAATAATTTTTCAAGTTACATACCATACCAAGGTAGCATTTTTTAAAAGTGTAACAGTACTCCTATTACCAATTAGCATTCTGTGCATGAATGATGAATTTCAGTTGTATTTTAACAAAAAACAATTTCCAGTTACTAGCTAACCTTCCCCATGAGCATCTTGATCTCAAATACAACCTTGTTTTGTATAGATGGTGTGTGACAATTAAACTGCGTATGATAGAGTGGTATAAAGCCGCTGGGCCAAATACTGCTGAGGTACACCAGTCCCAAACTGGAATAACTGCCTTGAACTCCAGTGTGGCAGTAGAATTTGACCAGTCATATGAAGATAACGACAGAAGTTAATCATGGATAACATATAGCCTATCAGCAGAAGGGAAAGGAGTAGATCAAACTAATATTAACCAAGTTATACCATAAGGCTTGCTGAATCTTCAGACAGCCACTCCTTGGCTACACAGATTCCTACTTGATCAAGCTAATTTGAAGTCTAAGACCTATTCCTACTATGGTGCCTCATTTCTGTCAAATTATTTTAATTCTAGGATCCACCTCAAAGCATTTGCTGCTCAGAAATAACTAGCTCCTCACCTATAAATTTCACTTTTTTACCTTGTCGTCAGCTACAGGTGTAGACAGCTGTTCACAACTTTAAACAGTTTTAATTATCAGCCTGTGGATTTAAAAAACCAACTCTGCAAAATAAGCAAAAAATGGGGGTGTGAAACTAAATCAAAGCACTATGGCTCTGTGGTAAGATCATTTTTCCAAAGTGATTCAAACAATATTCATTCCAAAACTTAAATGGCTTTCTTCAAGAAAGCTAGGGGGTCCCCCAGTCCTTTTCTTTAAACATTCTTAACCACAGTACAAATTTAACTACTCATCTGAAATATTAACAAAACTACCATATTATACATTAAAAATACATGACCTGTTAATTAACCTCAGGTCAATTATTCCCAACCCTAGTATGTTCAGTTCTATAATTAACATGAACATAGAAATCACAGACCAGTAGGACTGCAAGGGACCTTGATAGATCATCTAGTCCAGTCCCCTGCACTGAGACAGGACTAATTATTATCAGACCATCCCTGAAAGGTGTTTGTCTAATCTGCTCTCAAAACCCTCCAATGATGGAGATTCCAAATTTGGTCCAGTGCTTAACTACCCTTACAGTTAGGAAGCATTTCCTAAGATCTAAAATAAATCTCCCTTGCCACAATTTAAGCCCATTACTTCTTGTCCTATCTTCAGTGGTTAAGGAGAACAGTTTATCACCCTCCTCTTTATAACAACCTTTTATGTACCTGAAGACCGTTATGTCCCCCCTCAATCTTCTTTTCCCCAGCCTTAAGCCCATTTTTTTCCAAACTTTCCTCATAGGTCATGTTTTCAAGATCTTTAACCATTTTTGTTGCTATCCTCTGGACTTTCTCAAATTTGTCCAAATCTTTCCTGAAACGTGGTGCTCATCAGACTTATCAGGGCTGAATAGAGTGGATGACTGACTTCTGGTGTCTTGCTTATAACACTCTTGCTAATATATTCCAGAATAATATTTGATTCTCTCCTCCCCCCAACAGTATTACATTTAATATGAATCAGTCTGATCTACTATAACCTCCAGATCCTTTTTTGCAGTATTCCTTCCTAGAATCATTTCCCATTTTGTATTTGTGCAATTGATTATTCCTTTCCAAGTGCAGTACTTTGAATTTAATTCTATTTATGTCACACCACTTCTCCAGTTTGTCAAGATCATTTTGAATTCTAATCCTGTCCTCTAAAGAGCTTGTAACCCCTACCAGTATGGTATCACCAGCAAACTTTAGAAGTGTATTCTCTCCATTACCAAACCATTTATGAAGATATTGAATAGAACCAGACCCAAGACAGATCCCTGTGGGAACCCACTCAATATGCCCTTTCATCTTGGCTGTGAACCTCTGATAACTACCGAGTACAGTTTTCAAACCAATTCCACACCCAACAGATAGCAGGTTCATCTAGGCCAGTGCTTCTCAAGCTATCTGATGTGCGGGACTGACAATTTTCCCCCCCAATGTGCACACAAACTGGCAGCCGATGACTCGCAGACCGGCACTGGTCCACGGACCACCATTTTGAGCAGCACTGATCTAGGCTACATTTCTCTAGTTTGTTTATGAGACTGTCATGTGAGATAGTATCAAAAGCCTTACTGAAGTCAAGATATAGCACATCTACTGGTTCCCCCCATTCACAAGGCTTGTTACTCTGTGAAGTAAGGATATTAGGTTGGTTTGACATGATTTGTTCTTAACTGTTACTTATCACCATATTGTCTTTTAGGTGTTTATAAAGTGATTGACAATTATGTTGATTTGCCTCACAGTAAATTAAGTCAAATCAATTTGGAACATTTAAACAAAAAGTGCACTACAGACTATGAAATCTAAACAACGGAATTAAGTTTCACTAAAGTGATGCGGAAAGTGTTTTTTAAACATATTGAACATAAGAATGGCCATACTGGGTCATACCAAAGGTCCATCAAGCCCAGTATCCTGTCCTCTGACAGTGGCCAATGGCAGGTGCTGCAAACGGAATGAACAGACAGGTTATCATCAAGTAATCCATGCCCTGTCACACAATCCCAGCTTCTGACAAACAGAGGCTAGGGACACCATCCCTGCCCATCCTGGCTAATAGCCATTGATGGACCTATCTTCCATGAATCTATTTAGCTCCCTTTTGAACCCCGTTATAGTACTGGCCTTCACAACACCCTCTGGCAAGGAGTTCCTATTCTTTCAGTAATAGTAGATGAGAGATCATTTGGATCTAACAGGTAGCACATCCAAATAAACAATCAAAGGACTTCCAACACAGCCAAGGGTGAAGAAACACTTTACCTAAAAGTGTTGGTCTAATTTATTTGCTGGTGCAATAACGAAGCAGTCTACCTTGTCCATCAAGGCTACAAACCACAATAAAAACAACTAAAAAAAAACCAACAAACATAGCTGTAAGTTTTCAGATTCAAAATAAGTGTTCCTTAATGTGCCATGTGTATTTAGGTTCAAAGTACAGAAGCACTATACACTTGTATATACTAGGTTTAGTTGATGAAAATATATAGTCTTTGAGTTTACCAAAAAATGCACTGCTTCCATTTTTTTCAATTCAGTTTACTTAACTGAAAAACTAACCACAGCAGCTGAATTAAGGAAGACCAGGAAGTCCATTGAAACAAGGAAGCAGCCAGTTTCTTAGCTGCAATTAACTACATTGCTGACTTTATGCAATCTTCAGAAAAATTAGCAAGAGTGCAAGTCCAAGAGTACAAATTCTAATCTTAAAGAGAGTTAATAGTTTATATAGAGAGTAGAAAAGGGATAGTGTTTTCTTCTTTTGTGGAGAATTAAAAGTTTCCCATATGTTACTTTACAAAGGCACTTCCACAATTCCTTTAGTCTTCAAAATGCTTTGAATACATTAGAGAAAGAGAGAGAAGATCTGATTAAAAAAATAAATGTTTCAAATTGATATGGTTTAATAAGAACTCATTACAGCAAAATATGCAAGCAATTAAGAGATCCTGCTAGATTTGATTCTTTCTTCACATCTGATGAAGTGAGCTGTAGCTCACGAAAGCTCATGCTCAAATAAATTGGTTAGTCTCTAAGGTGCCACAAGTCCTCCTTTTCTTTTTGAAAATTTCTCACCACAGTTGCCTTACAACCTGTAAGATACAATCCTTCCTCATTGAAAAGAGACTCTATTTATGGGCACGGTTAACCAGTGCCAAGTTGCTAAGTTGCAGCTTTGCTAGTTTGACGTTTATACAATGCAAAGAACAATATGCTCTGGAATCTACTCAAAGCATTAGCCAGGCAGAGAAAGCAACGGATCAGCTGATTATATTGCACGAATGCCACGGCAGCCTCTGCTTTAAATAAAAATTAAAAAAAAAGGGGGGGGGTGGGAGAAACGAACGCGAAAAAAAGATCTACGAGATTTTAAAATTAAAAAAAACCTCCCGGTGGTTTCTCTCGCCCACCCCCCACCGTATAACCTTCACACGCGCCGCGCCATGCACCAAGCAGCCACCAGAGCAACTTTTACGAAAGGTCAATGCGGTGCCTTTCACGGCTTCCCCCCTCCCCCGCCCCGCGTTCCCTCTCTGGAGCAGGCCACCGAGGGCCGGGCCCCTGACTGAACCTCCCGGGGACGAGGTTTTCTTAACCCGCCGCCCCATCGCCGCCCCCTCCCCCCATCGTTCACCTTCGCTCTCAAACCGCCGCTCTCACCTCGACCCCCCCGCTCCTGTCACCCCCCAGAGCCCCGCGTGCGGCCTCCCGCCCCCTCCCCACTCACCCTCCTCGAGGGGACTCCACAACCCCTTCCCCCGGGCCGGATCTGCTGTGTCAGGCCCGACCCCTCCCCCCGGGCCCGGCCGGCTCAGCCGCGGCAGCAGCGTGCGCGGCCTGGAAAGTCACATGGCCCCGCAACGCGGCCGGGCCGGGCCGGGCCCGCCGCCGCCGGGCCCCCTCCGGGCCCCCTCCTCACCTCCACGAAGAGCAGCATCCTCCTTCTCCCGCCTCCCCCCGAGGCCAGCGGGCCTGGGATCCCGGCTCCGACGGCTCCCCGCTCCCAGGCAGGCTCCGGCAGCGCCAGCGATAAGGGCACTCGGGCTCCGCCTCCGGCTGCTGCCGCCAGCCAGGGCCCGGGCCCCCGCCCCTTCCAGATCCTCCGCCTCTCCCCGGCCGCCAGCGCCTCTGCCGGGTCACCCCCGAGAAGTCCTTCCGGGGTCATCGGAGGCCGTTCGCAGAAACTAGCCGGGGTCCTATTGGGAACGTACTATTGCCTGGGGTGGGGGACACCAATCTAGGGGAATGAACCATTCTGCCTGGTATGGGACGAGGTGTCCGAGGGGGCGTACCATTCTCTGCGCTAATGGGATTGTTGTTCAGAGGCATGTACCAATCTCGGAGCGGGGGGGGGATCAGTTGGAGTGGTCCTCTCCTTGTTTGTCTGTTGGGGGGAACGTGCCATTTTCGGTGCAGTGGGGGTGCACGGGGAATGTACCATTGCCATTGGGCCACCTCAGGCTGTGCCCAGCACAGACCCATGGTGCAGCATCCGAACAGGGTGACCTCACGTCAAGGCTGCCTAGAGCAATCAGAGGGCGCCAAAGTGGGATAATGCCCCATTGAGACGCCATCATGGCCCCACAGCATGCTGAGCCCTGAGGCTCTGGAACTGGATTTCAAGTATCACCAACCACAAGCCTTCAAAACCATGAGACTGAATTAAAAACAATACACCTGGGGCTCTTCTGGTTCACGTTTGCCCGTTTTTCTCCACAACCATGAGACAAAGGCCGAGAGTCTCACAATAATCTCGAGACTCCAGGATCTGAGGCTTCAAGAAGATTACCAAATATTGTGATACCTGTAACAAGTCACAAGAGTTACAAGACTGCATCACATCCAGATCTTGCTGAGCCTCAACCAGAGCAATGAGATGGCAAGAAAGCTGGGTCATGTTGTGCTCAAACATCACTCTGACCCACAAGATGCTGAAATGTGGCTCTGTTTCACAGGCCCCAACGGACATTTTGTCACCCTTTCTATCAGAGACAGAGGAACTGCCCCCCACCCTCAGGAGGAGAAAATTAATCTACCCAGAATAACAGGTAACTTGTGAAAAAGACCAACATGAATCTCCAATTCTGAAAGAAATAGACTCACTCAGACTAAGGTCTTTGGGGCAGGGGCCTACTTTTTGTTATATGTTCATGGGTATAATTGAGGAGCGGGCATTGCTCCCCCAACTCCAAGCTTCGGGCAGGCACAGAATTTACATACGCATGCACCTCACCACATGCAGCCTCATTGGCCTGACTGGAGCTGCCCTCCATATATAGAAGTCAAACTATGCCTGTGTATATGCTTATATATCACCTAGCATCATGGGGATCTCTGATCCATCAATACAAATAATTTGTAATAAACACTCACTCATACACACGCTTGCACACACATACACACACTCAGTTATCTCTCCTGTCTATTTTGGGATCGTTCTATACTGCCACTGATCATCTTAATATCTGAGTGCCTTCCACATAAAATCAGTACTAAACTGAAATCCCCAGTGCATTTTGTGAAGACTCAGGCATTTCACCCTTTATGGGGTCAAAGCTCAGGGTAGTGTTTATTAATTAAATTTTATTAATTTGCTTTTTTTTGTGATGTGGAGGTTGGGGTTTTTGGGTAGAAGAGGGTCACCATTAGTATAAGCAGTGCTAGTTGAAATTTTGTAATACTTTTTTTTTCCCCAAAAAAATTGCCTTTTTTCAAAACCTTACATTTTCTTGAACAATTTTTCTTTGTTTCCTTTAAAAAAAACTTTGAAGACAAAACACTTAGTCTGTTTTTATTTTATCATTTTTCTTTTTTTTCTCAAACTTTCTCTCCCTTTTTCCCTCCCTTTTTCAGTGGCAAAATACGAAAAGGGGGGGGAGTAAAAGGGAGGGAAAAGGGGAAAGAATGTTGGAGGAAGAAAAACTGAAAACAAACCCCAAGATGTAAAACAAACATTTGTGAAAAACTTTTAATATTCAAAAAATTGTTGATTTTTTAAAATCACACAATGAAAACTTCAACAAAATTATGTACATTTTTGTCCAGCCCTCAGCAAAGCCAACTTCTAATCAAGGCATTCAGGAAGATACTCCCTAAGGCAAGTTATACCAGAGCTATGCATTTTAGGACTCATGCACCTATCTCTGAGTATCTGGTATTGGCCACTATCGGAGACAGGATACTGCAGTAGGTGGACTCCTGATCTTGTCTGGCAATTTGTAGGTTCCTAATGCTCTTTTCCCATAACTCATAGGAGGCGATCAGAGGCCTGTATTCCAAGGATTATCTGCTTTCCCCAGTCACACACCATAAGGTGGCAAAGAGCTTTAATTCTTTGTACTTGTAGAGGATAAGATCAAGAGCAGATACAGCTGAAACTTTGGAGTGGGAAATGGAATAATTCACCGTGTGGAGTCCTGAAAGTGGGTCGGGGAGAAGGAACAAATGCCAACATTTCAATTTAGAAAGACAAAGTTAGTGAGGTAAAATCTTACTGGACCAACTTCTGATGAAGTGAGCTGTAGCTCACGAAAGCTCATGCTCAAATAAATTGGTTAGTCTCTAAGGTGCCACAAGTACTCCTTTTCTTTTTGCGAATACAGACTAACACGGCTGTTCCTCTGAAACCAACTTCTGTTAGTGAGAGATACAAATTTTCAAGCTTACACAGAGCTCTTCAGGTCTGAAGAGCTCTGTGTAAGCACAAAAGCGTGTCTCTCTCACCAAGAGAAGTTGGTCCAATAAAAGATATTACATCACCCATCATGTCTCTCTAATATCTTGGGACCATCATAGCTACAACAACATTGCATACAACATTTCAATTTGCCAGCTTGGCAGGCAGTGAGTTCTGCTAAATAAAGAAAAATCTCCAATGCATACAAGAAGAATGATTTCCAGCCACAATATTGCACTGATAATCAAAGTATGGTCCACAGGCCACCTGTGATCACCTTTCCTGGTGGTCTGCAGACTGAAATATTTTATAGCCAAATGGTAGGAAATTGGGAGTTGGGAGGGGAAGTGAGTCCATGAAAAGCTTTTTCATAAATAGCCTTACAAAGCATTAAAAGCTTGAGCACCAGTTATGTTAGGGAATCCCTGCAGCTCCTCTTCAGGAATGGCTTCATTTGTAATTACTCTGACAAGCAATTCTATTTTTAAAATGTCCAGCACCACTAGAGACTTGTCCTTGCAAACACTCAGATGTGCCCCGCTGCGGACTACTTGTGCTTGCAGTATATAAATGATAGAAAGATTATTGGACAACTGCAGCTCTGAACTTTTGTAGTACAGCCAGCAATGTCACCTTCTACCAGAAAGCTGTACTGACTGGGATATAAGTGTTCTGTTCTAGCACCTTCTTGTTAAGCTAGGGTGACCAGATGTCCCGTTTTTATAGGGACACTCCCGTTTTTGAGGACTTTTTTTATATAGGTGCCTATTACCCCCCAACCCCCTGTCCCGTTTTTTCACAGTTGCTATCTGGTCACCCTATGTTAAGCACTCCTGTTGAAATCTCCCTAGGGGTTATTTAATTAGTAAATCCTGTTTGGTAGGTGTCTGTCTATGTACATTCCATTCACTGTGCCTGATGATTTCAGGATAGAATCACAGGAAGGGTTATTATGACATCACCCAGACAAATGGAATATTCTCATCTCTTGGTGACATGTCCATTTGCCCCTCTGATGTTGAGCTAACAGCCAGAGAAACTGGACCTCCAACTACACCTCTAGAACGAGGAAACTAAACAGGCTTACAATGTGATTCAGCTTGGAATTGTCAGAAGTTTATTCTTAATGCAGGAAAACTACCAGGTCCTAAACATGGCAGTGCAGGAATCATCATCTTCGTCATTGTCATCAGGAAGCTCATATGAATCTGAAACAAACTCAGAACCCGAGCCTGAAGCTGCAGCCTCTACATTGGAACTCACTATCAGTCCTCTCACTGAAATCCCCCCCTCAGTGAAGAACATACTGGACAAAATTGATGCTGCCCAGCTCAGCAGAGCGAGGAAGGTACATGTTGACACTGAGCACCTGATCTTTGGGGCAGCTGAATGCCTCCTGTGAGTAGGATGCAAGGGAGATTAGCCCTCTGTAGGAGAGGCACCAGAGATAGGTGGAGGTCTCAGATTTTATGCCCCATTAAATATTCCCATTAGGGGTCTTGAATTGCTTTCCATTTTTAGTGAACGGCTCATGTCCACTGCCAGTTGGCTTTGTCAGCAATTTGAGAAGCAGAATATTTGCTTCCTGATATTTGTCATTTAGAAATAAAGGGACACTATCGTGAGAAGTGTTAAGCACTCCCATTTGCAGTGCTGAGACCCACCCTAGCTAGGTTCTATTCCTAGCTCATCCTCTGTTATATGTTACTTTAGCATCCAGATCTCCTAATTGAGATCTGAGCCTCATTGTACTAGGCAGCACATAATGAGAGGCAGCTCCTGCCTCAAAGAGTTTACAATCTGAATAGAGAAGTCAAACAAAAGGTGGGAGAAAGGAAGTATTATCTCACATAGAAATTAAGCGACTTGCCCAAGCTCAAACAAGGAGTCCGTGGCAGAATGAAACCTAGCTCTGCTGAATCCCAGTCCAGTGGATTTACTTACCTGGGCTTGAGCTCCTTGCATGCAGGGTGTTCTAGAAACAGTATTATTAAGACCCTATCCTCTCTCTTCAGGAGGTTTTTAAGCAACTGTTTGTAATTCTGGATAATGTGAACCGGGTATGTAACTGCTTCAAAGGGATGGACCCAGAGATAGAAGAACAGTTCTTCCTCTCCGGCACTTGGGCTGAGAGGAAACGGAGGGCACTTCTACTGGACAAAGTAGCCATCTTGCTCAAAGCCAGCACAGCTCAAGGGAAAGATTTAAAGTTCGTTCTGGAATCATTAAAAGAATGGGGTAAGTTAATGGAGACAGTTGGCCTCTGGGATGCTCCAAAGTACAGGTAGCTCTAGAGCCATACCCCTAAACTTTAGGGATGTCTGGAACCATGCTCTCCACCTGACCCCTATATCTCTATCATGGGGTCAGTCAAAAACCTGGATCCAAAAGCCTCTGAACTTTGGGGAAGTTTTGAGCTGGATTCCAACTTCATAGTTTGATCCCATTGTGATGTTTGGGTGATCACCCAGGCTGGTAAGGGATGCAGTCACCACCTTCCATTATAACCTTGGGGTGCTTTAATGCTGTGCTGCTATGGCTCAGATCCCAGACACCAGTAGCTTGCTCGCAAGCACAAAGTCTTACCCTGGCTTTCACTGGCCTCCTCCTTCCTTGGTAACACCAATAGTTCTTATAGGCCTAGGTGTCCCCAAATCCATTCCTTTCCCCAGACAGTCTGATTTTCCCCCTCTAGTTTGTGACCCCCAAAGGCATGAAACTAGCCTCCCAATTATCATCTCACTTTGCCAGATGCACTCCTCACAGTTTGCACACCCGAGAACTGCTTGGGTAAAAACAAACAAATTGTTTATTTAATAGAAAAACCACAAAGATGAAATAGTAAGGGAGAGCCAACATATACAAGTTACATAGTAAATAAACATAAAGACACAGCTTCAGATGTCTTCTATATTAGTTAAAATCTTTTTTCTAATACAAGTTACCTATCGCCTTTAAACAGTTTCCCAGCGTACCTCCTAACTGTGGGATGCAGTGTTTCACAGACAGCTTCCCACTTGGAGGCGGTCCCTCAGTTTCTGGATGAAAACATCAGCTTCAAGACTCGTTTAAAAAAATATATATTTACCCTTTTCTTTTTTCTCTCAGACTATGGTGATTCCTGGTTATTCAGACTAGGGAAATTCCCAGTTGTCTCAATGTCTTTCCATTAACTTTAATGGTCTACCATTATCCTTTCCTGGGCTGGACAATGGATAGGTACTTGAAGCTGGTATAATGTAAGCAACTGTCTTGGGAGGTAGCCTATCCCTCCCTGATTGCTTCATCGCCCTGTTTTGAGGAGATGCTAAAGTTGCCCCACAGTTACAATTTACAATTTTCTGTGTATACACATACATACATTAATAATCATGGTCTATATACAGATCTCATAATGATCATCGAGTTCAGAACATTACAAGTTTATTCAAAACCTTACTTGGTATATTTTTATAGTACAATGACATATTCTGCAATCAGTTGATTGAACTGCTTATTTTGGGGGTTTAAACCTCTTGTTCTCCCTATAGGGTGTCTGGACCCCAGTTGTCACACCCATCTCTGCTCAAACCCTGCAGCTATATAGTGCGGGTTTTGATTTACAGGACCATCTTGAATTTAACCTTTAGAATACCAGGAATTAGGTGATTTGCCCTCATGGTTCTCCACAGAGGGATCTAAGATGAGTTATATTAGTTTTTAATACCTGTCACACTCTTTGTCCCCAAACATGATTCCCACCTCCTTCTCACCAACAAGGGGAGACACCCGCTTGCCCACCTCCTTAGCCCTCTCAGAGGCCCTTACTGAATGTCCTAAGACTCCATCTCACAGACTCCTGCTCCCTGCCTACCCTACAGCATTGCTGCCCCACCTCCCTATGTATTTTCCTGTGTTTGTGTGATATGTTACAATGTTCATCTGACCTCCTTGTGCAATTTTGAGACCTTTCTGTGACCACACCTGACTGTAGACATGTCACATATAAATTGCTAATCATCAGGTCAAGATCTTTTGTGTCATTTAATAAGGGTTTGATTTTCTGGAAGGTAATTAACGTGCACTTCATTCCCCTTTTTGTTTTGGCTCTTTTCAAGGTGAAATGTTGTCAGAAGGCAAAGAACAAGTCGGAGACACCCACACTGTCCAGTGGGTCAGTGATATGGAGACCAAGCTGCTGATCTCCCTTGATTATACAGAAGGATGTATAATGCAGCTATTCGATCTCTGCACAAGTCTTGTGGAACACAGGAGGAAAAAGAGGGGGAAATCAAGTATTTGTTTCAAACATCTTGGAATGAGAAAAGGGGGAAAATTAATATTTCTGATTAATTTGAAGGAACAACGATCTGATGCATATGCAGCCAGATTTTCAAAAGTGACCTTCAAGCATGAGGCATTTCAATAAGCTTTCCAGCCTACTGTACATCTTTATTGAGAGCACCCCAAAGTGTTTTCCCAGTCAAAGGCAAACTAAGTAGACAAGCTAGATACAGAAAGGATTATTATCCCCATTTTAAATATGGGGGACTGAACAGTGAAGAATCTATCCTAATGTCACACAGAGAGTTAGTGACAGAGCCATAAATTGAACCCAGATCTTCTGAGTTTTATCTCAGAGCCTTAATCATAGGACCATCCTTCCTTTCATTATAGACCCTAATTCTTTCTCTTTGTGTGTCTAATTTTCCCAGTTGTTCCCAAAACCGGCATGTGGAGAGCATGGCGAGAGAAAGTTGCACAGAAACCTCAGGAAGCCCAGCCCTTGAGCCCTGAACAGATGTTAGAAGATGAATCTGTAATTTTCTCCAGGACTTCTGAGCTCCTTACCATGTTACAGGAATTTGTAGGGTCCACACTGTTTAACAAAGCAGAAGCTGTTGTTGTTAAATATATAGTGACAATGGTGGCCAATCTCACCAAAGCCTTCACTCTGCTAACCAAACAGTGCCGTGGCCTGCAAGCAAAGTATGATACCTTAGCATCCCAGGAGTCCAGGAAGCAGGAAGTTCAGTATGGGAACTTTCAAAAGGAAGTACAGATGCTTCATGAGAAAAAGGCATCTTTGGAGGCTCGAGTCCAAAGCATTGAAGACAAATACAAGATGCTTCTTGTAGCAAATGAGGCAATGCAAAAAGAACTGCACAAGGTGAAGAAAAATGCAGCAATAAAGATAGAACCATCTTTAAGAGACATGAAATTTGGGGCCAGGGCTTCTTTTGAAAGGAAATCCCAGGAAGATGATGATAATGATCTGAGTAGGAAAAAGGATGCGGTTCTGTCAGCTGAAAAGCTGTCATGGAAATCCCAGGCAGACCTTGGTAAATCCCCCTGTAGGAAAAGGGAGGCAAAGGTACCAGATAAAAAGCAGCTTCAGAGACCATTGGTAGAGAGAACAGAAGACACCAGTGACAAACAGGAAACAAAGCTTCTAGATAAAAAGCCAGCACTGAAAGCCTCAATAGAGAGAGGTGAAGACATCAGTGACAAACAGAACGTCCCGGTAGAGAGAACTCAAGACACTGTTGGCAAATGGGATGCAGTCATCCCAGTGGAAAAACAAGAAGAGACTTCAGGAGACCTGGCTGGAAGACGGCATGAACAACCTCTGGACAGTGAGCAAACAGAGGCTGCTGACAAATGGGATGTGAGCCTCCTGGGTGGAACCCAAGAAGTTGTTGAAGATGTCACTGGTGAATGGCATGAGATGCTGCCAGAGGAACATGAGCTCAAGGCTGACAGTGAAGAAGAAATTGAAAGGCTCCCATCCCCAACAGAGCTCCCATACCAAGGGATCTCTAGGAAAGGGAAGCAGAGGAGGAAGAAGGAAAGCCTGTATACTGAGGAGACACATACAGAAATGCCTCAGAGCCCAATCAGCAGAAGCAAGCTGGAACCATCCACTGCACTGTATGGGTTTAATTCAGCTATCCTGGCTTATCTGGAGCAGAAGATGGAGAAGCTATGGAAGTGTCCCTCTCCCGGGAAGAGACAAGCAGAGAGGATGCTGCCCAAGGACCCAGAAGCCCAAAGGCTCTACATGGCCTTGGAGAGGAAACTGGAAGAATGCTTCTCAAAAATGAAGATAAAATATTCCAGCAGCTTAGAGGAACAGAAGCTTCCAAGGAGCCTGGAGCTGACTGAAGGGCATGATGAGGAGGCAAAGCTGAGTGACCCTGACAGTCTCTTTTTGGAGTCCAAAGTTCCTGTGATCTCACGAGGGGGACTCCCTGCAGCCCTGTGGAAGGACCCTAACGTCTCAGCACATTTTCAGTTTCCCAAGCAATGGCAGGAGGAGGCGCAGGAGCCATGGCAGGGGGAGGCGCAGGAGCAATGGCAGGGGGAGGCTCAGGAGCAGTGGCAGGGGGAGGCGCAGGAGCCATGGCAGGAGGAGGCGCAGGAGCAGTGGCAGGGGGAGGCGCAGGAGCAGTGGCAGGGGGAGGCGCAGGAGCCATGGCAGGGGGAGGCGCAGGAGCAGTGGCAGGGGGAGGCGCAGGAGCAGTGGCAGGGGGAGGCGCAGGAGCAATGGCAGGGGGAGGCGCAGGAGCAATGGCAGGGGGAGGCTCAGGAGCAGTGGCAGGGGGAGGCGCAGGAGCAGTGGCAGGGGGAGGCGCAGGAGCAATGGCAGGGGGAGGCGCAGGAGCAATGGCAGGGGGAGGCGCAGGAATGGTTTAAGAAGATACAGAAGGAGCAGCAATGTCAGATGCAGTCACCACAGCCTGAGGAGCAGCTCCAGCAGCAGCTGCAAGGGGTAAAGGAGAAGGTGGAGGTGGAGCAGCTGGAGGAGGAGCAGCTGCAGCAGGAAGAGCATCAGTTTGAGGAGCTGCAGCCACAGCAGGAGCCATGGCAGGAAGGGCAGAAAGAGCGGCAGGAAGAGAAGCAAAAGCAGTGGAAGAAGTGGCTGGAGGAACAAGCAGAGGAGCAGAGGCTGTGGCGGCAGCAGCAGCGGGCGCAGCAGGAGGAGCAGCAGAGGCTGAGGCAGCAGCAGCAGGAGGAGCAGCAGAGGCTGTGGCGGCAGCAGGAGGAGCAGCAGAGGCTGAGGCAGCAGCAGCAGGAGGAGCAGCAGAGGCTGTGGCGGCAGCAGCGGGCGCAGCAGGAGGAGCAGCGGAGGCTGAGGCAGCAGCAGGAGCAGCAGAGGCTGAGGCAGCAGCAGCAGGAGGAGGTGCAGAGGCTGTGGCAGCAGCAGGAGAAAGAGCGTGAGGCGCAGGCGAGGCACTGGCAGCAGCAGGTGGAGGAGCACGAGGAGCAGCGGCAGCTGTGGCAGCAGGAGCAGGCGGAACATGACCTTCAGCGGAGGCAGTGGCAGCAGCAGGAGGCGAAGCAGCAGGAGCAGGAGAGGCTATGGCAGCAACAGTGGCAGGAGCAGCTGCAGCAGTTGCATGAACAGCAAGAGTTGCAGCAAAAGCAGACGCAGCAGGAGCAGTATCTGACCCCATGGCCTAAAACAGTTCCCAGGAGCAGAGAGCCTGGGACCCTGGAACACTCGACAAAACAGATCCCGCGAAGGCCCAGGAGAGAGACTGCAAAGGAAGAGGTCCTACTGTACGAATATTTCCAGCCTTCTGCCCAGCAAATGGTTCCTACTCAGAGCAAAGTATCCCTGCACTCTCAAGCTCAGTCTACTGAGGAGACCAGCTGGCTCCCCACTCTGGCTCAGAAGACCAAAGGGAAGAGCTTGGTGCCCTCCAGCCTGTCAGAGAAGCGGTACTGGGTGGATGTGGAGGCTCAGAGGGAGAATTTGGTGCTGCTAGGCCAGGCAACCCAAGAGTGCAGACTACCCCCACACCTGCACATGCAGGCGAAGGAAGTTATCATTGAGATCCTGCACATTGATGTTGAGAGGCTGGCTCTCCTCTTCCACAAATACATCTCCTTCTGTCACCTCCACCATGTCAGGTACCAATATATGCAGACTTCTGGTATCCACATGGGGCCAAATCCTTGCTAAGGACCTGCTCCTGCTGCCATCAAAGCCAGTGTGAGACTGTCCATTGAGTTCAATGGGAGCAGGACTTTGCTCAGTCTTTACACAGGCAAAATTCCTATTGAAGCCAATGGAACAAATCCTGAGGTGCTTACTAAGGCCTTACTCAGACCACAGGCCTTGTAGTAGCTGGGGAATAAGTAAGGTGCAGACACACCTAGTTCGTGTCCCCTCCCTTCCCTGACATGCCACACACACAAACACACCCTGGAATTTCCCTCCACTGGGGGCTCTTGTGAAAAGGCTCAAATAGCGTCTTGCACAAGAGTATTCTCCAAAGGACAGCTGTCTCTTTGTTTGGCTGTTCCTCAGGGCAACCAGGATGGGGTCCAGTGGATCAGATCCTGAGTGGTGCTGATCATGTGTAGCACCCATTAAAGTCTGCTTCTATTGAGCTCAGTGGTCAAACTCTCACTGATCTCATCAGAACAGGATTGTGCAAAGTGTGCTCAGCATCTCTCAGGATTTGGCCCTAGCTCAGCAATAGACAGACCATTTCCTTTACTTCTATGGCAGTTCTGGGTGGTTGGTGCCTCTTGGGATTTGTCCCTAAATCAATCAGATTAACCTATCAACTCTATATTTTTTGGGGGGGGTTGGAAGATAAAGGCTTAAAGCAGCACAAAGGAAACTCCACATGGTCTCATCACCTAGTGATATGAGTGGGGTTTCCATGCTCCGAAATATCAGCGCTGAGATCCATTGTACAGATCTGACAGAAAAACCTGGCCTCAAAATTACAGATGGGTCAAAGCCAGAACAATTTATCCTACCCCCAACCATGAATTTTAGGAAAAAAGGTAGTGATGAACTCAAGCCACAGCCGTTGGGTTTGGATTTCAAACACCCCAAAGGTCTTGGATCCAGGGTTGTGGTCTGGACCATCTCTAATTAAAAGAGATGCAAACGAGGTACTGCAATACCTAGAAATTAAGATGATAGGGCATTAGAAAAACAAAGATGGCTGGATGTATGGCTAGACAGAACCCTAAACCCCAAAGCACCCCTCAGTTTGCATATCCGTCCCACTCCCCTGCCAACACAACACACACCAAACTATGTAAATAAGTTGTTTGGTTTCTCTTCTGCTGTGGAGAAGAAACATTTCTCACAATTTAATTCCTTTTCTTTCTATTCCAAGACAAACCTTAATGTCCCGATTGGAAGCTGCCAGAGCTGTAAATGATGGTGCTGAGGTCCGGAACTTGTACACATATGTGGAGAGGGTGGATGCTTACCGGGAAAAGGTGCTACAGTGCTGGGTGGCCAAGCAGAAAACAGCAGAGCGGGCACGTCAACGCTGCCTTGGCAAGATGATTTCCTTGTTTGCCCAGGTGAGCTTTTGGGGTGAAGTTCTCTTCTTGGTTCCCACAGATGATCCTGCTAACGTCATTGGCATAACCAAGAGAAGAGTGTGTCCCTTGGTTTTTATTGGTCACTTTTGTTTCTAAAATCAGAAATATCCAATGGGATAACAAGACAGAAAAACAGCGTGTATGGGGCTAGGGTGAAATTTCCCCCTGTGCAGAAATGCCAGCACAAGGCCTAGGCCCAAGGCCCAAAGAGCATAAGTGGGACTTAAGTAGTGCATCAGCCTTGCTCTGGCTGTCTGCACAGGAGTAGATGTCACCTTTACTGATATTTCCCATCTATTCTTGAATCCTAGTCTTCCAGGGAGTGGGAAGGGTGTTGAGGATCAACTGTGGTTGCAAAGAAGAGGGATAGTCCAGAGATTAGGGTACTAGTTTAGGACTTGGTTCAAGTCCCTTCTCGGCCACAAACTTCGTGGGTGACCTTGGGCAAGTCACTTAGCGTCGCTGTGCCTCAGATACCCATCTGCAAATGGGATAATAACCACCGCACAGGGGTGCTCAGAGGACGAATACATTAAAGATTGTTAGGTGCTCAGGTACTATGGTAATGGAGGCCAGATAAATACTTTGCCTTCAATTGAAAGGAGCTGGAGAAAGGCAAAATGTTACTGTGGCCGATACTGAGTAGCATGCTAACTGCCTGTAGCCTCCAGAAAAGCCAACAGGAGTTGTGGGTGCTTGGCAGCTTTCTGGGATTTGAAATAATTAATAAATTCCTGTAAAAAAATTTAAAGTGCCACCTTCTCCTCTTTTAAATCCCTCCATAAAACCTACCACTGCCATGATGCCTAAACATCACTGTCACCTGGCATTGGTTAGGCAAGGGGCGAACTGAGGCTTCTGTTTTTATTTTATGCTAACCTTTGTTTTGTTGTTCCCTCATCCCATCAGATCCTCTCCCCACCCCATTTGTCTGCTGTGTTCACCTGTTACATCCTAACATCTAGATTGTGAGCTCTCTGGGGCAGGATCTGTCTCTTTGCTATACTTGCCTATAATTACTATAATATCTCTACTATTGTTTTACTAATGATTACGAACTCCAATCCTTATGTTTCAGAGTAGCAGCCGTGTTAGTCTTTATTATGTTCTTACTCAAACAAACTTCTACTGGCCAAGGATTTAGATATTATTATTATTTATTATTACCAGTGAACAGATTAATTGAACCAGATTCTCCTCTCCCCATACCCAGTTTTACCCATTGTAGCCCTTTTGATTTCAGTCAGGTTATTTCTGAATGTGTGTGAGAGAAGGGAAAGGGGAAGCACTGGCAGCAGGAGGACAGCTCCTTTTCTTTATTGTTCCATTAGCTCCGCCTGAGCTCTGAACTCCACCTCAGCAGCCCATCCCCACTCATGATCAAAGCAGTGGATGAAATGAAGAAGGAGTTCCCGTCCTCAGCCCATGCCAGATCCAAATCCCCTGGCTATCCAAGCCCCCTGGCAAGTGTGAAGAAAGTCAGAGACTTTATGCATCCAGCTGGAGTCAGGTATATGGGGGTCTGGAAATGTTCAAGGCAGCCCTTATTAACACACCCTGCCTTGCTACAGCCCCAAATAGTGATCTGATGCTCAGGTCCTCGTTGTGGGCCTGATCCTGTGAGGTGCTTGTTGCCTCTTCTAAGAGGCTGAGCACCTACAGCTCTCACTGACTTTTGAGGGTGCTCAACTTCTATCAGGATCAAGCCCCGAGAGCCTCAGCATTCCATTTGGCCTCTCCCCCTTTTCACTGTCTCACTCTTTCAAGACCTCCAGCCAGAGTAAGACATACTCTGTGTTCCCATCTTGGCTGTTTCAGCTTTTTCCCTTCCTCTCTGTACTTGCTCTGTGGCTAAGCAGAGGACTTCAGTCTCTAGGGCTGCCAACCACCATTTGAAGCCCAATCCTGCTGAGCACCCTCAATTGCTACTGAGCCAAGTCCTGTCATTGACTCAAGCAAACTCCCTTTGGAGTCTAATCCTGAGAGGCACTTCTCACCTCCATCTCCCACTGAAGTCCTTTGAACACTGGGTCACTTATGTAGGTGCTTAAATATGGGCTTAAATGCCTAGCTTTAGCACTTGTTTGTACATTCTGGGATGAGTCAGGACCCCAGGGCTTGGCCCATCATGTGACCCTGTTAATAGGTTTGTAGCTGAGTAGTTTTTATTGCTTGCAAATGACTGTGTTCTTGTGCTCCTGCAGTGAGCAGCTTTGTGACCAGATAGAGTCAGTATGGAGGACCGATGTCATCTCTCACAGTTTTCCTGTCGTTCCAAAACCCCCTGTGTCACTACTCTGGTCCCAGGCTGGTGGCTTCCCAGATATCCCTAGGTTTCTGGAACTGGATGTGAGCTCAGTTAGGAGCAAACCCTTTAGGACTCTACAGACACGGTAAGCAGCCTTACATTTTATTTTACCTTAGTCTGCAGGAGGAACCATGTTATAATTATATGACTGTGTCAATCTCTAATTCCCTCTTTCCAAAGATCTCACCAAGCTTTGCAAATATTAAAGAGTTAAACTTCCGGGTGAGTTAGGGAAACATCTGTATTCCCATTTTACAGATGGGCAAAATGAGGCACAGAGGAAAAAGCAAGTCAGTATCAGAGCCTGAAATAGAACCCAGCTCTTGTGACTCCCATCCAGGTGCTCTAACCATGAGACCATCCTACACCTCTCTACATGCTGAATGGGATTTCTTTTTTGACTGAAGCCACCCTGTCTCTTTGGTTTTATGCTGCAGAAAGAGCTGTATTTGAGCAGGGGATGGGCAAAGGAAGGTGAGAGAGGGCCTGTGGGGAAGAGGAGGGAGGCAGGATGCAAATGTGCTATGCGTGGAGGCCAAGAGGAAGGCCAAAATATTATTTTCAGACACAACATTAGAGATGTAAGAGTCTCCTTGATACTTGCACATGGATACACGTATCAGAGTAACCAGGAGTAATAGGTGCACACTGAGCAAACAAATACCTTAGCATTACATATTAATAACAGCCCAGCTAGCTCCCCACCACATGGGCTTTGTATCCACCTCCCATCCACACCACACTGCTTGTGTTCCCCCACAGCCAGATGTCGCTCTGCCCTGCTAGGTTGGTGTGTGTGTTTCTCACGCTTGCCAAAAGCTTTGGCAGAGTGCTGATGTTTCCTTCTTCCAGGAACTTCTTAGAATTTCTGCAACAGCCTGTTGCTGCAGGTTCACATGCTGCTGGTCCTGGCTCCTGCTGGTGGTGCTCAAAGCTACCTGAGCAGGGGACAAGGCTCATTCCTGTGAATGTGGGAGGAGGACCCCAAAATGTGATGAATTGCCACATTTTTTTAACTGAGAAAGGCAAGCCATTTGTTCCCCATGACCCTCAAGATCTAAAAAGTTTGCATGGATTAAAATGACCAGCTATGCCAGAGGTGGGCAAACTAGGCCCGCAGGCCCTTCCTGCCCGGCCCCTGAGCTCTGGCCTGGGAGGTGATCCCCCAGCCCCTCCCTCACTGTTCCCCCTCCCGTGCAGCCTCAGCTCACTGCGCCGGCGAAGTGCTCTGGGCAGGGGGGTTGCGAGCTCCCGGGGCAATGCAGCTGCACAGCCCAGCCTGACCCGGTGCTCTGTGCCATGCAGCTGCAGCACCGCCAGCCACTGGTGCTCAGGCAGGGTGGTAAGGGGGCAGGGAGTGGGGGGGGGATAGAGATCAGGGAAGTTCGAGGGGGTGGTCAGGGGCCAGGGTTGTGGATAGGGGTCGGGGTGGTCAGAGGGCGGGAAACAAGGAGATTGAATGGGGACAGGGGTCCTGGGAGGGCAGTCAGAGGCAGGGATAAGGGGTGGTTGGATGGGGCAGGGGTCCCGGGGGGCAGTCAGGAATGAGAGGAGGGGTTGGATGGGGTGGTGGGGGGCAATCAGGGGCGGGGGGGTCTGGGGGCGGTCAGGGGACAGGGAGCAGGGGGTGCTGGATGGGGCAGAAGTCCCAGGGGAGCCGTCAGGGGGCGAGAAGCAGAGCGGGTTGGATAGGGATCAGGGACCGGGCCACACCTGGCTGTTTGGCTCCATACAATTTTGGAAACCCAATGTGGCCCGCAGGCCAAAAAGTTTGCCTGCTCCTGAGCTATGCTCATGCAAATCCAGACAGTTGTGGGGCTCTGGGCTCCAGAACTGTCTCCTCTACAGCCAACCTGGCCTCTCTGTCTCCTTCTGTCCGGTCAGTGCCACTTTGGCTTCCATGGCACTTCTGCCCCTCCCCATAGCAAGCCAAAGACCACAGGGCAAACCCCTAAGCCTAGGCAATGATAAAAAACCCTTTCCGCGCTCACAGGCAGGTAGAGATGCTCACTGAATCCAGGGCTGAGGCAGCAGATGATATGGGGTGAAAATGTGACCCTTATCTCTCATGATTTGTGCTCACATTGCTGCCACCTTTGTCTGCACTAGAGAGTTGAGTTAATCTCCCTTCCTGTCTCTCTTCATGAGTGGCCTGTAGGTGTCACTGTTTAGTCACAACAGCACTCAAAGCATCCTTGTGTTCAGAATGACACTGCCTGCATTGAATTTGTATCCCCAGCCTTTAAGCTTGTTTAATTGCTACACACACACATGCATGGAATCTCATTACATTTACTCATTTAAACTGATCTGGATTCAAGGATGCAGGGGAGTTGAGTGGGAAGAACCTCCGGAAGAGAACAGCAGAACTGGGTTCACCTTCTCCAAGATTCACTGAGTGCCTTTTATCCAAGCATTGTTTACAAACCATTTGGTGACAGTACCCATAGAATCCAGTCACCGAGGAGGGCAGCAGTCAGGCTGTGCAGCATCGGGTGCGGGGCTTGGGAAATGTTTGGGAAACCCTGACTCTTGTGAAAAGTGCTGTGGGATCTTCCTGGCCCTACTCCGTTGAACATTTTTATCAATAACCTGAAAGAAAACATTAAATCATCACTGATTGCAGATTACACCAAAATTGGGGGAGTGGTAAATAATGAAGGGGACAGGTCACTGATATAGAGTGATCAAGCTGGGCTCAAGCAAACAATATGCCTTTTAATATGGCTAAATGTAAATGTATACATGTAGGAACAAAGAACGTAGGCCATACTTACAGGATGAAGGACTCTATCCTGAGAAGCAGTGACTCTGAAAAAGATTTGGGGTTCGTAGTGGAGATGATCAGCTGAACATGAGCTTCCAGTGCGACTCTGTGGCCAAAAGAGCTAATGTGCTCATTGGGTGCATAACCAGGGCACTCTCAAGTGGCAGTAAACAGGTTATTTTGCCTCTATACATGGCATTGGTATGACCACTGCTGGAATACTGTGTTCAGTTCTGGTGCCAGCAATACAAGAGGATGTTGATAAATTGGAGTGGGTTTAGAGAAGTGTCACAAGAGTTATTAAAGGATTAGAAAACATGCTTTATAGTGATAGACTCCAGGAACTCAATCTGTTTAGCTTAACAAAGAGAAGGTTAAGAGGTGACTTGATCACATTCTATAAGTACCTACGTGGGGAACAAATATTTCATAATTGGCTCTTCAGTCTGTCAGAGAAATTTATAAAAAGTTCCAGTGGTTGGAAGTTGAAGCTAGATAAAGTCAGACTGGAAATAAACTGTAAATTTTTAACAGTCAAAGTAATTGAAACAATTTACGAATGCTTGTGATGGACTCTCCATCACTGATAATTTTTCAATCAAGACTAGATGTTCTTCTAAGAGATATGCTGCAGAAATTATTTTGGGGCAGTTCTCTGGCCTGTGTTATACAGGAGATCAGACTAGATGACCAAAATGGTCCCTTTTGGCCTTGGAATCTATGGATCTATAACGTCCACACAGACAGGCAGTATCCATAGATTCAAGGCTTCCTCTGAAAGCTCCACACATAGTAAAGAGTATGATAGCCAGGTCCCCTGCCTTGGAAGGGCCCTGCAGAGTCCTTTGGTGTTGGAATCCATCGTTCTAGTTATTTCAGTATTGACGCTCATACTACAAAGCCTGTGGATAAACCTTCTGAGGGTAATGAGACTACCAGTCTGGTGGGACTGGGAATGACTCTTACCAGCTGCAAGAAGCAAACACAGTAGAAAAACAGATATGCCCAGCTCTCACTGACATTCTGCATACCCAGCTGGAGGGGCAGGGGGAAGTGGTGCTTCTTAGGTGGGTTTTACAGGGCAAGAAGTCTGAGGCTTTTCTCCTGTAGAAGTTCACACACTGGTAGAGCAGGAAAGGATTGCACAAACTGGAGGGCAAACTGGGAGGGACTGAGGAGTTATTTGGGATCCAGTGGGTTTTGTGCTGGTGAAAGATGCAGATTTGTAGCTCCGGAGGCTGAATAGGCATGTTAGGACCAGGTTACTTACACACACACACATCCTCCTGTCCTGCCCCTCAGTGCTCAGCCTGTCTGTGAATGTTGCCTGCAATTATCATAAATTCTCAGTGGGGTCAGGACCTGAGTTACAGTAAGTTGAGTAATCAAAATCCATTTGAGAGATTAGGTTCCTGCACAGGCTGCAGGCTCCAGCTGGCACAGTCCAGTGGAAGTTTCACTGACCAGTGTCTCTAAGACATGTGCATAAGAATGAGAGAGAAGCACATTTAAGTGGAATAAAAACAGCACAAGAAATTATAGCAAAATATGCAGCCCACATAAAATGTTACCATCTGTGGGCTCTGTCATGGCATCCGGTAGACACCAAGGAGATTTCTGATTGAGTGTGACCTTAGATAGTCAAGGTGGGTGAGGTAATATCTTTTCTTGGACCAACTTCTATTGATGAAAGAGTCAAGCTTTCAAGCTACACAGAGCTCTTCTTCAAGTCTGGGGAAGGTACTAAGAGTGTGCAAGCTAAATACAAGATTGAACAGATAGTTTAGTATAAGTAGTTAACACATGTTCTAAGGGACCATTTCCGATGAACTGTAAGATTTGGCTCTGTGAGATTAAAATACCTTTCAGAGCTTGATTTGCTGTGACATTCGAGGTGTGTCTATACAGCCTGCAGCAGTGAGCCTCCCAGCCCAGGTCTCATGCTAGCACTCATAAAAAAGCTCTGTAGACAACAGTACTTTGAAGTTGTGGCTCAGGCTCTGAAGCTCACCTCTCTCCTAGCTCCTGCCCAAGCCACAGTTTCAAAGCACTCTCTATTTTGAGCCCCTTTAGCCCATGTCTGTTGACTTGGGCTGGGAGGCTTGCTTCCACAGGCTGTGTAGACATATCCTCAGTGATGCTGTGTATCTAATGGCTACAGCCTGGGATCAGGATCCTGTTCTATGTTCTCATTTACTCTGCACACCAGATGTAATAAGGCTTATCACTTTTCATCTTCAAGGCGCTTTGCAAACATTAACCTATTAATCCTCACACACACACCCTCGTATGGTAGTTAAGGATTATCCCCGTTTTACAGATCTGTCTTTATCCACAAAATCTGTTCATGAATTTCTAGTGCACCCCTTACCACAGTGTCAAGGTATCAAAATAATGAAGAAACAGAGTCAAGAGAGGTTACAGCCTGATTTTCAGAAATGCTGAGCACCCGTAACTCCAGCTGAAACTGCCGGTGCTCAGCATTTCTGAAAATCAACCCTTAAGTATCTAAGGGGGTTGATGTCAGCACTAGGATTAGAAGTCACCCTCTCCTAACTTCCAGGCCTGCTCTCTGACCATTAGACCATCCCATACTATTTAAAGGGCTGACCCTGTAAGGCGCCGAGTGTTCTTAGCACCCAAATAAATCAGTGGGTGTTGCACTTAATCAGCACATTGCCGGATTGGTCCTTTTGTTTGTAGATATCAGTCACTAATGTCCCTAGTTCTTACATACGTACAACCCCATTGACTTTAGATGCAGCAGGTGTGCAAGTCTGGGCTCTGCATAGCTATTAAATCATTAGTATTTTGTAACAATAAGCCTGTCTTTTTTTTTTTTTTTTTTTTAGAGTCCAGAACCTTCCCAGATGGAAAACATATGGACACAAGTAAAAACCCGTGTAAATATAGGATAGTCCAGATGCAGTTTAATGCACAACAGAAATTTATGTAGAAAGCAAATAAAGTTTATTTTTGTGTTTATTTCATGGCCATGTGCCTTTACTGTAAAGCCTGCAATTTATGTTCCAGTCTGTTGAGTCTGGGATTGTCAAAGGCTCCTAAGGGAGTTTCACTGAAATCTCAACTTCTGTTGAACTCCAGTCCTTCCACTGAATTTCTGTTCCTGTTCAGGAATGTGCCCCTCCATCCCCCTGGGCCTTCTCTTGTTAGCTGAATAAGGGGCAGCAACAGAAACAATTGCACCTTCTGCTCGTGTGTGTTACAGAGCAAAATTCATGTGCCCTATATACTGAAATCAAGAGGTTATATAGTGAAAGGGACTGAATGGCAAAGTGAAAAGCTGTTCTTTTCAGGCAAGCATTAGCTTGATATGGATTTGGGCTGGACTATGGCAAGCTTTATCTCATTTTGGTGGGCTGAGGTGACTGATAAGGGGAGGAGTTCTGACCTCCTAGCCCTGCTTGGCCACTCTATCAGAGTTGCAATAATTTGCATAGAGGTGTGGGGTTGTGTCATGTATTCCTTAGTATAGAGGACCTGGAACAATAGCATCTTCAGATCATTCTGACTATTGCGCTGGGGAAGTATGGAGATAAGGCTCGTGACATACGTGTTTGAACCAAAAGCAAAATCTTTCACAGTCATCAGAACCGAGTGACTTAGGCCACCCATAGCTTTTTCAGCACCCCTCACATTCATTTTGCAAGAGAAAACTCCACCTCAAAGGAGCACTGGAGGCAGAGCATCAGGAATTTGCTTCCAAAAGAGGCCAAAAGTTAAATACTGCAACTACCAGGCACTCTGACAAATGCAAATTACTAATAACTACTGTAGTCAGGAGGCCTGGAGTAGCTGAGATGGGATCAAGATAAATTACTGCTGGGTGTGAGATAGAATCACACTCCCAGCAGCCCTGAAGTTTTGGCAGCTCCCAGACACAATGGGAAATGCATCCCTCCCAACCCTGCAGCTATTCATGTACAGCCCTTTTCCTCATATTTCACATCTGTTCCGCCTACACCTGCGAAGTGCAGCCAAGCTCTGACATCTGGGCTGCAAGCTCTTCCAGGAGTCTCTCCCCATCTTAAACCATGCAGTTGAGTCTAACGTGGGTCGCTTGCGAGCTGAGGTTCCAGATGTGTTCTCCCTGCCTCTGATGAGAAGCTCAGGTACATGGACTAAGAGTGCAGTATAAATACCTCCACAGAAGGGCAGCTTATACAGCCTCTCCTGTTGGATGAAATATCAGATCTACTCAAGCATGTAAAAAGAAAAGGAGAACTTGTGGCACCTTAGAGACTAACCAATTTATTTGAGCATAAGCTTCATCCGATGAAGTGAGCTGTAGCTCACGAAAGCTCATGCTCAAATAAATTGGTTAGTCTCTAAGGTGCCACAAGTCCTCCTTTTCTTTTTGCGAATACAGACTAACATGGCTGCTACTCTGAAACCTGTCAAGCATGTAAGTGGCTTTGGGACAGGGACTGTTTGTTATGTGTGTGTGCAGCACCGAGCTGTACAGGGGCCTCGAGATGTTACTGCAACATAAATAACAGTCTGCGATGTGGGTTTGTGCCTAGCAGCCCCGAGATGAGGTAAGACCTGATAGCTGCACTCCTTTAGCTGCAGTGGTCAGGTCCATTGTTCTTGGAACAGAAGAGTCCGAGTTCTGTCCCCGATCACACCTGTGGGATGCCTGTAGCCACGCTGTGCAGTATGACTGACATGACGTAGCCTGCACCGTGCACCGGAGAGCATTGTCTCTCCTCATCCCCCACTCAGTTGTGTGTGCTAGTGTAACCAATTAAGCAGCTAGAGCTTCTCTGGTGAACACAAGACAAGCATGGAGCTGTTGGCTGTTAGAGGTATGGGAGGCAGTGGACACTGGATGTCTCCGCCTGGTATATGGGTACAATTCCCAGAAAAGGCTAGCGTCCACAAGCCTATCAGAAACATCTGGCTTGAAATCTCATTTTAAGGCAGGAAATTAATTTGGATGTTAAGCCATTTCCTTTCATCTCCATAGAGAGCAACTCTGGTGGCATGACCGCTGGAGAGCAGTATCTGGGAAATGCTGATTTTCATTAAATTGCAGCGAGGAGAGAAAGAGGTCATGGAAAATCCAGGGATGCCCTCACTGCCCACAATGCAACTTAATGAAAAGGAGTGGGAGCAATTTACAGCCAACACTTCTTATTGCTCTTACCTCACCTTTAAATTCTCCTTTTTCCAGGTTCTTACATGAGACCCTGTCACGGACTCACAGATCGTTCCCACTCTTGGCCCCGTGCGGACCACGGGGGGTGCCCCTTTCAGTGAGACAGCCCTTCTCCCAGGGGTCCACTCTCTCTCGGAGTTAAGCCCCTCCACCTCCTGAAGCTGCACCTCTCTGAGCCTTAGCACACCTTTTTCTTGTGATGGGCCTCCTCAGGGAGTCCACTCGCGCTGGACCCCCAGGGCCTCCACCCTCCCACCCACCCCCGAAGGGGATGATGCAAACCTGTTCTCTAGACCAGAGTGACTCTCAGCCAGCGTAAAACAGGAGGGTTTAGTTGAACACAGCACAGGAAACTCTCAGGGCCTCAGGCCTGGCCTCCCTCAGCACAGCACATCCAAGTCTCCCCTGCATCCAGGTGGGCTCTGCCTACTCCCTCTCTTCAGCCCAGACACCCCCCCCCCCCCGCTTCCCAGCTGGGCATCTGATATCACCGGCCTCAAGCCCGCTTCTGTCCATTGTCTTCTCTCCAGGTAAACAGGGTCGTAAACAGGGTCACCTGGGCCCCCTCTCCTCTCTTCGCAGCGCATTGTCCTCCCACTGGCCAGAACTGGCTGTGACTCCTGAGCTGGGCCTCTGGGTCACCAGTCGCTGGGGTCTCCATTCTCCATGCCAGTGGTTGGGGTCCCAAGTTCGCTTGCCGGTTCTCTGTAACAACAAACTCTCCCTCCCATCACCTCATTAAACCCGTAGCACCTAGGGAAACTGAGTCCCACCCCCTCTGCATGCAAACTATAGGAAAACCAAGAAAATCCCCCATAGGAAACAAGGAAAAACAAGAAACTCTCCCCCACTTCATCACAGACCCATTTCCAACCGGTTTGTCAAAGGGCCTTTAAGAGGTTCAGAACCCAGCTCTGACCTGTGCTTCGTTTTCCTCCTAATTCATGGGACTTAGAGAATTGAGAGCATGAGAGTCAGGGTTGATGAGAGATACAAACAGCAGTTTGTTCTCAGTGGGAGAGGGAGCTGGAAGGAGTGTCCATGTGCTAGAGTCTCTTGTGTCTGGCATGTCTTGTAACTGGAGTCTAGGAAAGGACCAGCAGTGGGTCCCTGCTGGGGAGAAGCAGGAACTGATTGGGAAGGATTAAGACTTTGGGAGTGGACTGATTTGGTGGGAAGGAGCCCCAAGGGAACTCAAGCCAAAGGTGAAGACTCAGACTGGAAGTTGCCTCTATCAGACTTGAACTCCACTTCCAATATTAATAAATAAGACCCTGGATGGGGGGACTGTGTGGAGCTGTACAAAGTGTGATTATACTGTAGAGGGGAGCTGAGGCAAGGGGGCGTGGGCTGTTGTAGAGAGAAGCCGTACCATCACACAAACCCACAAGGGTCATAACTGTAGCAAAGGTTTGCACAAAGCCTGTGGGAATGTCAGTTCTGCTTCTGGACCAGAGCTTCTGACAAATCATACAGTTGTATTTTCACAAACCTCTGTTACTGCTGGAGTAAATGGTTCCCTTCCCAGGCAAAACCAGTCCTGCTGTGGTGAGGTAAGTAACCCTGGCAGCCTTCAAGCTGATGAGCAGGAATTACAGTTTTATTCCAACATCATTGAGTACAAGGCAAACAGTACAGAGGTCTGGCTCTGAGAGACACCCAGGCAACAGCATTGAGCAATCAATCTACTTTGTCAGGCCCTGGGTACCTCCAGCAACCTGGCAGTGCTGAACTGTATATTCTGTGGCAGATAAATTAAATTTAATGGATTTTCTCATCTTCTGCTCACTCTCCTCCCATGCCTCTGGCCCACCCACCTGAAACCACCACAGATGTACTCAGGATTCTCTTTATCCATGTAAAATATATCTGTATAAAAAGTCTGAATGGAGAAGGAGAGGGAGAGTAATGAACTGGCTGGTGTGTATGTTCCCTATTGGTCTTTGCTGGATGGAATCAGAACAGTTCCATCCTGTGGCATAGGCCCCGGCCTGCTAGCAGCTGATGGAGATTCTCCCTGAGCTCAAGCTGGGCTTTTGGAGCAAAAGGCGCTGAGCTCTGTCCCCACTGCTGTTGTAAAGTTCCAGATGGTCCCAGTGTGCAGCACCATGACAACAGTGTAGTGCTTGTTGTTCGGTGGGTCTAACTGACCCTCTGTATCTATGGCAGAGTTATAATGATCTCATATAATCCAGATGGCAAAATGGCTGCAGCTTGAACATGAAAATAGCAACTGATTTCTACCATGGGTGTGTTACAGCATTAACGCTGGCTACAGAGTGCGGGGACAAAGGCCGAATGGCAGGGGCAGCGTGAAAGGAAGCATGCTCTGTTGCTGCCCGTGCTGTACCAGTTCAGCCTCTGACATACTTCAGTCTCTGGGGCTGTTACTTCAGCACTGGCACTAAAACAGAAAAAGCAAGACATTTAGAGACAGTGGGTTCCCTCTCAGTCCACTAACTAGGACAGCCAGTGGGAGTTTTTCAATATCACACTCATCAGGAGCAGCTAGCTCGCCAAGGCTCAGGAGTCCGGGCAGCTACAGCACCCCTCTGCCTTCTACTTAAGTTTCATCCAGGTCTGAAAACACTGAGGGAGGGGAGAGGGGGGAAGAAAGTAGTGACTCATGTCGAGAGGGAGGAGTTGGGGGCAGAAGGGACAGGAACTGCAGTTACCAGTTGCTGACTCAGCATGCTTTTCCTCTTGGACCTTGCACAGTGAGCAGCCAGGAGGGATATTAATGTTTAACTCCATTTAATGCTGATTTGATGAGGGGAAGGTGAAGAGTATTTCTTCTCCTGGA